AATTATGTCACCCAAAATTATAAGGTTGTTTTTGCAAAACAAATGTTTTATGTGGCTGATATCTGTTATAAAGCCATATTTAGAATAATCCGGTGGCCTGTATATAACACATATATTTATTTTGTATACATAACTAACTTGAATTTCTCCAATTATGCATTCCATATGATTTGTTATTATATTATGACGTTGAAATAATAAGCTTTTATGAACATACAATAATATGCCTCCCCCAGTTCTCTGTTTTCTTAATAAATTAATCATATTATATCCATCCAACTCAAATAATGAATGACAACCATGTTTGATATTTACTTCTGTTAGAGCTAAAACATGAATAGTTTGTTTAGTACTATTTATCATGCGTTCAATGTATGCAAAATTTTTACAGATTGATCTGATATTGACGTGACAAAAAATAAGTGAATTACTATTTTGTTTATCGCAGTTAATTATGAATTCTTGGAAGGTATCATATTTTTGTTCTGTTATACAATTAACTTTCTTAGAATTAGCCATTTTTAGATACAATAGGATTGACAATTGACGAACACGTATACATTAAAAAGTGTTATAATAAACAAAGAAATATAATATTATTATTTATCCTTATCTTGCAAATCTTTAGCGAGACTATCTATGTCTTTTAGCGATTTCACGGCATGTATTTTAGTACCTTCTTTCTCATCTTTTCTTACGAGGATCCTCCCTTGCGTACACCAGACGAACTTATAAAGACCTGTCTTCTTGAGGTCTTCTTTAGCCTTCCATAGCAGCTGAGCTGTTGTAGGCGTAAGGACCTCCCGGATGAAAATAGGATTTTCTCCGGTAAAACCGCAATCTTTAGCTTTCAATTTTTTTTTCTTTGCTGCTGAAATCCAAGCATCTCGGCGTCCATCCTGCAGTGTAATAGAGAAGATGCTAGTTTTTATTTCGTTTTTTTGAATTTTCGAACTTTTTGTTTTCTGACTACCGTTTCAACAATCTCTTTTGGATCTATGTCTTCTTTGCATTCAATACCACATATTTCTAGTTCGTTCCGAAGCTGATTTTGTTCTAATGCACCAACTCGCTGTTCTAACGCCTCATTGCGAATGGTTAGATTACGGTTCGTATTTTCTAAATGCTTAACTTTTCCTTGCAACGTATTTAGCTTCTCATTGAATTCGTCGATCAGATCAGAGTAGTCGGACACAGTATTTTGTAATTCTTCTCTTATAATGGTATTTACCTCCTTTCGTTAAGCCCAGATATTGCAATTCAGGTGCAGATGACAAAGAAGAGCAAGTGCAATGTGTCTCATCGTCACTTGGACTTTAATCTGAATCTCTGGTTGAGGCAGTGTATTGATTCGATGACAGAAAGCCACGTATTTTGTCTTATCTACGTTTAGTGTAAATAGATTTTCACCCAATCATTGCATAACTACAACCAGTGCACGCTCTGCATGGTGTTTGACCTCCAACCAATCTCGTCCTCATACTATTAATGCTGTGTCATCGGTACAGGTGTTTATATTGCAATTCAGTAAATTTTTTGAGCATAAGTTGTTGATATATACTAGGAAAAAAGTAGGACCTAACACACTACCTTGTGTTAGTTCAAAAACAAGATCACACTGAGAACTAAACAGTCCCCTATTTTAACGCTTTGTGAACGATTTTATAAATAACTTTTAAAAATATCAAAAGCCGTACCACGCACACCAATCGATTCCAATTTGAAGAGAAGCAGAGGGACAGATACCATGTCAAAGGCCTTCGTCAAGTCCTTTTCTTTTCTTTATTGTCCCTCCCGCCCCCCCCCCCCCCCCCCCCCCTTTATTGTCCCCAAAACTTTTTCTTTATTGTCAAGATGCTTAAGTATTGTTTCCGTAAGTAATAAGGCCGCATCTTCAGTAGACTTACCTTTTATGAAACCAAACTGGTTCTTTGAAATCACGTTATTATGATCAAATAAATCAATAAGTCTACGATTGAGAATCTTTTCAAGTATCTTTGAAATAACAGTTAAGAAAGATATTGGCCTGTAATTTCCGACACAATTTCTATACCCGCCTTTGTGAATGGGATGCACTATAGCTTTCTTTAAAGTATCCGGGAAAACTCCTGTCTCTAGACATAAATTACACAGATATGTAAGAGGGGGTATTATGCTATTCTTGGCGTGCTTTATGACAAGAGTTGGTATATAATCTATGCCAGCAGCAGAATTATTTTTGAGGCTGATGATAATAGAATTGATTTCATTAAAGTATGTAGCAAATAGCGCCATGAAATTACAAGGTGGAAATCAAGATTGGTTAGTAGGCGGCATTGGTTTCCGACATGATTTTTTAATATAGTTTGGGCTAATTTAGAACCGCTATCTGCAAAATATGTATTTACAAAATTAACTGATTCACTTGCATCATCTTGCAAATGGCGAAGTTCTTTAGATGGAGCCACTGATGGCTTAAAGTAAGTTATTTTATTAATAGATTTCCACATATTCTTTGGGTTACCTTTATTTTTTTTTCAGTTCTGTTTTTTTATAGTAAATTTTTAGGTTTTTTTTAAAAGATTATTGCAATAGTTTCTATATCTTGTATACGTCACTTTAAGCAATGCATTTTTGGATCACTTTTTAGCCTCTTTTGTATCCGGTCGCGATTTCTGATACATCTAACTAGTCCAGGTGTAATCCACGGCTTTATAGCCCCGAAACGATGAGGAATAACTTTTTCTACTGAATGTGCTTTAGTGACTGATGTTAAAATGCTGATCAACTATTCTGTCGCAATATTGGGGTCTCTTGAGTTATAAATATTGGAAAAATCTGTATTGGCCAGTTTCTGGAGCAAAAATGTATAGTTAATTTTCAAAAATGTTGACCGTAATTGGTGTTTTTTAGTTTTACAGTCTAAATTAAAGAATAATGGGGCATGATCAGTAACAAGAGAATCTAGAAATACAGTGGTAGCACCCCTATTTGATCTTAACATTACATGGTCTATACACCTATCTTGACGAATGGGAAATGTGTGACAAGGGAGTAGTCCATGGTATGCCATTAGGTCAAGATATTTATTACAGTTTAAATCCTTACTGTTCGGAGCTATATTTATGTTGATGTCGCCTAGTAAAAGCACAGTTTGAACAGTTTTCAGTCCTGATAAACATATATCTAGATAATTACAGAAACTATCTATAATAAGGACGGACGGCTAACGGTAAAAATGGCGTAATGATCATCATGTTGCAGCATAAGGCAGCTTGCATCAGATATTGACGGGATAGTGGTTTTATGTTCGCCGTCCGACCTAATATAAACCACTACGCCGTCATTTTGGTTACGATAATCAGATAAATATGACTCAAAGGCGTTTATTTCTGGTGCAGTTGACATTTTACTTAACCAACACTCAGTGAGCACAATAGTGTCACACTGACAGTCAATTCGTTGCAATCTCAAACGCATCGAAATTACAGGACAAACTACGAATGTTTGTGTATTATTTTGAAAGTTTTTTTTTATGTTTTCTGGACTACTAATAAAATTCTCCGAAACGCCAACCAAGTCTATCTCGTTTGAAATATTATCTAATTGAAGCATTTTCATATTTGGAATTTAAACGCATTTTTCAAAGTTCTATATAAATAGATTATAAACATCACATCAAAGAGCAATAAATCAACAATAGAAAAACTAGTTGTTAGGATGAGTGGTTTTACGTTAACTGTAACGTATAAATATATAAACCACAATAAAAATAATCTGTCAAAAAAATATATTAGAAAATTAATTTATACACGTTCTACCCAAGTTATTGAAGTGGCTAAGTCTTTATTATATATTCTATCAACAGTCTAAAAATATCATGATATGTTATTAGATAAAACTCGCGTGCATCGAAAACATCAATACAGTTGTCGGAGGACGTCTTATCTAACTATCAGTATTGAATGAGCCTAAATATATGAAAACAACCAATAGAAGCTCTATATAAACTAATAAAAGGTAGAGATAATAATTTACAAAGTACATGTGGGACTTCATATATCTGAGCATTATCTGAATCTATCACCCTTTGTCCGCCGAACAATGGTTATTATAATAGTGATTTACGTCAAACAACTTAATAATTATTGATACAATATTCTTGCAAAATATGTAACATTCACTGAAGCCGTGATGGTATGACGTGTGACAGAATTCTAGGCTTAACTAACTTTGTTACCAACCAAATTACTACATGAGAGATTAGGATGCGATGGCTAGGCAGCAGTAATAGGTTCCTTAAAATCCATGAATTAAGCTTTAATATTGATTTATAAAATGGTTGATACAGAAAACTGTAGTCAAAATAAATATAAACAAAAAAAGATCTAAGTTGAATGTTATGTTACGGGGAGCAGGAGGTGCGACCCTCCTGCTACCAGTGGCAAGGCCTTGGGGTAACAGGTCAGTGATACCCCGGGGCTGGAGCCGGAGTCCCCGGACGGATGCCTGAGTGACCCTTTTTTTTGTGACGAGGGGAAATGCAGTTACGCACCATACCGTGACGCTGACTAGGCGCACGGCGTGTGTGGGACTCGCCGGCACGGGAAACAGTGCCGACCCTACTCAAGCAGGACCAGTGCGGAAGGCCACACTGATCCTACTCCACTAAAACCCCCCGGTACCCTCCTACGCCCATGTGGGGGCGTCTCGGGGCCGACGCAACTGCGTGCGCCACAACTCCGAGCCCACCCCCGGGATGCCTGAGTGATCTAGGTCGCTCGGGTACCTTCCTGGTCGCCCCCCGGTCGCTAAGGCTCGCCTCCCCTCTCCACGGAGAGCGGAACAGGAGACTCCCCCGGGAATCAGCAGCTCGAGATGGCGGGCGCCGAGTCACATTGTACTGGTTCTGAGATGGGTGATGTCTCTTTTACTACGAGGCACTGCACATCGGCAATTGCATTTATACTACCTACATATTATAATTATTATTATCATGAACGTAAAAAATATTGTTACAGGCGTAATATGGTCAAATGGGCCCTTACCAGGATCGGGAGAGTTCTTCAAAAAGATTAAACAACACGGAAAAGCGGTGCATTATGTATCAAACAATAGTTTGAGAACGAAGCAAGATTATGAGGACAAATTCAAATCTTCAGATATTGAAAATGGTTTCGTGAGTACATATTAGTATTTTTGTAATTATATTTATTTCTAAAGAATTCAAGTACTTTCAATTTTTCATATTTAATCCTTTATTAATACTGTGAATATATAAATAAATTATTTTCGGGGGCCAAAAAATTATGAATATTTTAATGGGTGTTCCACAGGGCTCTTATTTGGTCCATTATTAGTTACTGTAATTTAAGCAATATTTAGAACTATGTGATATATCTAAAATATTTGATATGTGATTGTATATAGGGCGTAGTATTCAAAAAATTTTAAAGTGAATAATGCTAAAAGGTTTGCAACAATATTTTTTTATGTTTTTTCTCAACCTTTTTCGGAATCTGACTATTCGGACACAAAATATGTGTGAATCCCATTAGTATTATTATATCTGTAACATATCAATAAGATTTAAAAAAAAATACAATAACTTAAATTTATTATAAAAATAATCTCTGATTTCTTATAACTCCATCAATATTAATGTCCCAACGGTTAGTACCTTATCTATTTTACATTTCGATGTAACCATTTACTTCCTCATTATACTTGCCTAGATATATTTAGTCAACAGTCATATTAAGGCTTAAAATTGGGAATGCCAAAACTCTTAACATTTGTATTTTAGCCTTACTTTTATAAGTATTGAAATTTTCCTAAACAATATATAGGTATTTAAACTCGAGAATCTCTCTGTCACAAGCTTGTTAAAAACGGACTCTACTCAAAAATCCCGCAGGTAAATTGCATGCAGTTTAGATGCTAACAAACTGCCCGGTCTGCCAGCAGTTAGTGAACACAGTTCTAGTATAAAGCTAGGTTTGAGTCATAAGAACTGCATAAAAATAAATCAAAACAAGATTATATAATTGAAATATCAACATTTAGTGAATGATTCCACTATATCTGATGTTAAGTAGTAATGGAGTCTGGTGCAGCCAATTCACCTGACACACCAGCCTTGCCTCAGAATGCAAAATACTTCTTTCAGCCTCTTTTAAAAGAACGTCGAGTTTAGGAAGGAGGGAAAACTTAAACGAAACGCAAAGATTCCATTTTGCTAATTCATATCAAAAGTAAACTTGAGTCACAATAATTAAAGATTGAGATAAAATTATCAAAACAAACTCTTACTTACTTCGCAGACTGGTGAATTTTTCATAATTGAAACCCGTACTTCCGTACCAAAACTCCAGGAAGACAAAAATATAAATAAAATTAATGATATTGTTACCTAACGCGACACACCAAGGACGCACAATGGTCCCGTGACAATTAAAGAAGACGTAATTAAGAGATCATTTACATTTCGAATGAATGAAACACATTTTATTTATTCAAGCGTTTGATGTTGGGCTGGGAATTAAACTGTGACAGAAATTAATGGTTCTTACTTAATTAAAGGAAACAATGGTAAAAATAAAATTGTCTTTTGACATTTCATATTTGGCCCTATTTCTATTTATGCAAGTACTGATTACATTAAAAAGCATGAAAGAGGTTCAGTTTTTTCAACAAATCAACAATAATAAGTCATTTTCGTACATACAACGAGTAATAATGAATATTTATAAACATTTTGAATATGAAAATTTAACAAAACGCTTAAATAATCTCCGATTTAAAGAGTTATTCTGTGGTTATTACATTGAATATATATACTTTTTGTCTTAGGAAAATCTAATGTAATAACTTTTCCATATTTGGGTTGGTTACTCGGGTTATGGCCCAAATACATTTAGTCATTAGACCGTTTTCGGGTGCTCGATAAACAGTTCTCGAATTCGGGCACCCGAAGCAATATTCACACTGGAATACAGACTGGAAAACGGTGTCGGGTAACCAAAACGAAAACAACCAGAACACGGGCGTATACGACTCCGTTCATTTACTCTTAGTCGTTTGCCCGAATTCCATTGGCACTCATTTTCGGGTAAAGTGTAATAGCGCCATAGATATCTTTTCATTTTGCTGAGCCTCAAATATTAAATACGAAAACACGTTATCATTATAAAATTACTAACATCGTTCTATTGATGGGAAATTATATGGAGGCTGATAGTGTTTCAAGCAAAATAATTATTAATTTTAATTATTTGAACTGAGATAGTTTATTCAAGGAAATATAAATACATAACAATAAAATAATATAAGATTTCATCACACTTGAATAAATAAGTTCAATTGCTATTCAGTGAACTCAATTGGGTATTTACTCGATGAGTGAACATTACTTTTATTAAGGATAAAAATATGGAGGTTAAAATATCGCCTAAACCATCACAAGTGGGTCTAATGCATATTGCTTGGTGCTAACGACAGGGACCAATGGCTTCACTCGCTTTTCAAAGCACGTAGGACAGCGAGATGATAAATTTATGGTCACCCAAGCGATGAACTGCTTTTTGAAATCAAATATTGAGCAAAGGGAATAAAGCTAATACTTTACATAAAAATTTAAGGTAGTCGAACAATTTTGTTTACTGTGACATTTGTTATAATTTTTTTTTTGCTTTTTGAAATCGCTGAACCCTCGCAAATATTGAGCGAAGGGAATAAAGATAAATCTTAGCATAAAAATTTAAGGTAGTCGAACAATTTTGTTTACTGTGACATTTGTTATAATTTTGAGTTAAAATTAATAAGTAATTACAAAAACCGTTCGGTTAAACATAACTCTGACGTATTGTCGAATAAGTTTTTAGTTACATTATTTCTATATACATTTCCTGCGAAGTCAGATAATAAAAATATGAAAATCAAGATAGAAACTGCTTTGTTGTGAAAGATCAATTATTATTTTCGTTGTTAACATGAATTGTCTTCTTTCGCAGGAAAACCTCACGATACCATCAGTAGCCATAGCAGAGTATTTAAAGTCTTTGAATTTCAACAAAAAAATATACTGTGTGGCCTGTCACGAGACGGTTCATGTACTAGAAAGAGCAGGATTCCAATGCTTCCTAGGAGTAAGTATTGTTAACAACCTGAACGAGTGTGTAACCTCATATTATTATCTCGGTTGGCATCAAGGGAATACTTTATTTTTATTTGGAAGTAGCACTGAATGTTGCCATTAAAAAGGCATGTTTCTCTTTCTTTGATTTAAAAAATGTTACCAGCAACAAAAAATTCAATGTCAATTCAAAGGCTATAAAATCTGATTTTCACTGACTTAAGGACTGGCAGATATTATTGCAAGTTATTTTTAATCAAGGGCCTGTGAAATCAACATATTTGGTATAACTGGCTTATTAGTTCAGAATATACTATGTATGACTATTTATGTACTAATGGACTATGAGTGCCTTTATCAGCAAGTTATGAAACAATTATTTATTAATAAAAAACAAATTATCATCAATATTCGATACTCAATCTGTAATGTCACTGTACTTTTAAGGAATGAATGAGATGAATATGATGATCATTATTATTTTCGTCAATATGGGTAATAGGATACACATATTAACGACAACATTTCCCATGACAATTTATTTGAAATGATTTAATTTCCCTTGAGAAATTATTTGAAATGGTTTCTTGACTGTTTAGACACCATACATTAGAAGATTCCGTATAAGTCAGCCAAAGGTGATTTTGAATTTCATTTCCATAAAATCTCATATTACACTTGATGGAAGTTGAATAAATTACTTGTTTAGTGGGGGTTTAAAAGAAACAAGCACCTATGGAATTAAAAACGTTGTATGACATTTGTGGGGAATTAGTATTTACAAACTCGTGACTAAGGAAAGCCATTACATTCGTCTAATTGTTTGTAATAACCAACTTACAAATTATATCACAATAGCTATGTATGATATTAGTGCAGTAAGTAAAATTCAGGCGCCTTCCTCACCGGATCGCTTTGTTTTCGTTTCTGTACGGATCCTGTACTGATTTTTTACCACAAACCACTTATTAACCGGCTTGGTTTCTATACGGTATTGTTTTGTTTTATTTGCTTCGGTGTTTGTAATTTATTATAGTGCCGTCACGAGCGAGTCCAATAGTTGGGTAGCACTCGGCACAGAGAGGTGTGTGTGTGTGTATGTGCTTAGTAAAGAATCAGCAGTGTTATCAAAGAATATCGTGAACATTTTACGGTAAAGCACTGCTGTGCCGAAGCGATTCAATTGTGTCGCTGCGACACAGATTCTCACTAGAAATCTTTCATTTAATTACATGCACTCGGTAAAGAAACGATAGTGAAACGAGCACGCGCCAAATGAGTAAAAAAGGTATCATAGATTAATAGAGCAGACCCGGTATGAAATTCCAAGTATTAACCCAAATTCTTTGTCACAGCCAGACTACGGTGCTGAATACTATATAGAGTACCTGCAATATCTGGTGGATGATCTTGACGTGGGAGCGGTGGTGTTTGACAGCGACTTCAGGGTGAACCTGCCGAGGCTTTACAAGGCTTTGACGTACCTTAAACGACCAGAGGTGATATTTATAAGCGGAGCGACGGACAAACATGTGCCATATAAGCCTGGATGCTTGGTTTTAGGTACTGGTTTTTTTCTATCATTTCAAGTTAGTTAAAATTTTTGTATTATATACATATATGTAGGTAAGTGAATGAAAAGTGACTCCATGAATTATTTCATATTGAAGTTTTTTTTTGTTAATTTGACTTGACTCTGAATATGATACAGGGAGAAAAAACAATCCTTGCTGAGTTTCTTTCCGGTTACTCTCAGTACAAGGTCTCCCGCCGTAGATTTGCGAACCGATGGTGTATTTTTTGACATTCACAAGTGCTTGTAACAGCCTAGACTGAAAAACGATACTGAATATTTGTTTTTTTTTGACGTAGGAATGTCTGGCAAAATCTAGTTCACTTGATGGTAAACAGCCACAATTTTTGGAAGACGTTGAAGTTGTGGTGCCAGGAGTATATTTTGAACTTTTTGGTCCCGATGTAAATATTCACTACGGAATGATAATTGCAAATAGTTATATATATTCTATGGTTGAAGTTTACTTGTATAACAGCAGCATATTGACAACTAACAAAGAACGGATTTTAGTACTCAATTTGTCTTTTTTATTTTTAAATTCAACTCAGGCCAGCCATTTTGAAAGTTGCTTAAACTCTTACAAAATATTGTTACTATTTACTAATATTGTAAATTACCTTTGTGCGAATTTATAGAAAAAGGGATCCTTCTCGTTATCAAAAAAAAATCCGCTGTCTCAAAAATTAAGGTTAAATAAAACTGAAAAGAAAACAACAGTTCAGTAATCTTTAATTATGATAAGTAAGGAACAAAGCTACTTTAAGAGTCGGGGCCCATAATTAGGAAATTTGATCCATTCTAGAATATGTAATAGGTCCCGACTGTTAAAATACGCTAACACATAATTTTCGTATACCTACAACGTTAATACAAAGGTTGTGAAGTAATTATAATAATTATTTTATATTTGACAGGCACTGGAATTTTCACGGACATAGTTGTAAATGAAACGAAACGCCAACCGGTTCAGTTGGGCAAGCCGGGTAAACTTTTCGGCGAGTTTGCGATGAAGCGGGCGGGCGTGACTGATCCGAGCAGAGTGCTCTTCATTGGTGACATGTGAGCATATTTTAGTCTTCTTTATGTTAAGAGGGTGGCAAGCAAGCATATGGCCCGTCTGATGGTAAGCGGCCACTATAGTCTTTAGACGCTTGCGGTATCAAAGCTATCACCCGCGCCGTTGCCTACCCTGTCCCCATCGCCTACCCCGTGGCGCCCTGGAACCTTACTCACCGGCAGATATTTTTTTTAATACTCACACTATTTAGCCTAGCCCCAAAATAACTTATCTCTTTTTTAAACTTCCGAGACCTGCTTTAATTTCTTTACAAGGCTGAGCTCTGATTGTGAATTAAAAACATTTATAATACCGGGTCCGGGTGAGGAGCTCGATGGCGCAGGTGGTTAGCGCGTTCGGCTGCGATCGTTGTAGTTAAGCAACTTTCGCAGTGGTCGGTCATTGGATGGGTGACCAAAAAATTTCTATCTCGAGTTCCTCCGTGCTTCGGAAGGCACGTTAAGCTGTTGGTCCCGGTTGCATCTGCAGTCGTTAGCACCCGCCAATCCGCACTGGGCCCGCATGGGTGGGTCATGGCCCAATCTCCCTATTCCATCCATAGGGAAGGCCTGTGCCCCAGCAGTGGGGACATTAAGAGGCTGATGATGATGATAATACCGGGTCATGTACGATAGTAAAATTATAGAAAGAGTAATTTGTCAATTCCTCCTCTCTCTTGCTTAATATCACTGTCACTTGGCCTTTAAAGGGATTAAATGTGAAGTAGGTATATCAAAATTAAGCTCTTGCAAACTTATAACAATTTCTTTTATAGGATCGAACAAGACGTAGGCCTTGGCAAAGCTACGGGATTTAAGACCTTATTGGTGTTAACTAACAACACCAAAGAAGACATGCTAGCACACCCAACTCTACGGCCAGACTACTTCGCTCCATCATTAGGGAGTTTAGTGCCGTTACTGTAAAACAGATGGCGCTGAATTTAATAAAATTATAGTATGCTTCCTTATTTCTAATGACTTCCCATGAAAGGTCAATTTTCGCGCGCACACATAGACGTCAATTAATTGTAATGCTTGTCAAAGTGACGTGCTGCCTTAATCAATTAATGTTGTAGCGGAAAAAACGGCATCAACTTAATTTGCGGCCGTTAGTAAATTATCCCCTTATTAATAAACGAAAAATAAGCTTGGATTAGTTACTCTAAGTTTTGTCTCTGTTCATCGAATGACAAGTGGCATTTGAGTGATATGAACAAAACACGGCGTAACTATTCTAAGCTTATTCCTCTCTTATTAATAAGAACTTTAGAGTTAAGTAGTAAATTTTTTTGTGCAAATTGAACTATTGTGACCTTAATCATTATATATCGTTAGTGTGATTATTGTGCTTTTTTATTTGAGTAAAATACAGGCGCAATCTCATAGTGTTCCGAATTGCGAACTGGAATGAAATATGAAAAAAAAATACGTCGAAGTTTTTCCATGCCATACGCGGCCAGCTTTTTTTGTAATAGCCAGGGGGCCATTCGCCTAACGGAAATGTTTTGGAAAACGCTAACGCTTTGGATTGTTATTACAATGCAAAAGAAAAAATATTCGCGCGAGGAATTTGAAAACCTCAGGCGGCTAGAAATAACAAAATGAAATCGTAAGCGTTAGCGTTTTCCAAAGCATTTCTGTTAGGCGAATGGCCCCCAGGTAGGCAAATGACTCTACCCACCTGATACACGTGGCCAGTACGTACAACACGTTTGGCAACCGCTCTGATGTAAGTCTTCTTACAAGACTTGGAAGCAGTATTAGGCAGCGAGTCAACCCCGGGATCTTTGAGAGTGCGCGAGCAGTCTGTGTATGTTGTAGCAGTCGGGATGGACTGCATCAAGCTGCGACTGCATAGTGAACTATGTCTTCTATGTACGCATATACACACGGACTGCCCAAGCAGTTATCAATGACAGCTTAAAGCTGTTAGCAACTAAAAATAGTATAATAAGCACTAGTCGAGTCTCATTTGCGGTATAGTATTAGGTTTTGGGGCAATTCATATAAATTTAATATACAGAGAGCTTTTGAGTTACAAAAAAGAGCTATCAGAACTGTAGTCTGTATTCCACAATGGGAATCATGCAAAGAATATTTTGTGCAATTGAAAATTTTAACTGTCCCTTGTCTTTATATATTAACAGTTTTGTGCAACTTCGCAAAAAAATCGGAAACTTTTGAAACGCCAATAGACAGGGAAAGGCGTTTGAAAACACGCAGAAAGGATCTACCACATCTGATCGAACCTAAACTTAAGGTTGTTAAATATGGCTATATTTTTAATAGGCTTCCAATCAGTTTGAAATCGATTATTGACTACAAATCTTTTCAATACAAATTGAGGGACTTCTTGTTGAAGAAATGTTATTACAGCGTTGACGAATTTATGCGACAGGATTAGGTTGACATGTTTATTTATTTATTTTTTATATGAATTTTATCCAATTTGACATAGTGAATTTGTATTTTTTCTTTATACTTATTAATTGTAATAATCCAATTTGACATCAAAAAATTTTAATTTGATATATTATTTTATTTATGTCAGCTTTTATTTTGTATTATTATTATTTTCAACACAATCGTATTGTTTAATGGAATAAATGAATTGAATTGTTGACTCTGACAGCTTGAGCAGTCCCGTGTATGTTGATCACTGGCTAACTGCGCGAGCAGACCGTGTATGGCCGCTCATATATATTCCTGAAGACATGATTCGGACTCGCTTGATTCAACTAAAAACTGTAAGGTTTTAAATATATTGTTAGCTAACATTAAATATAAAAATCGATTACAGAGAGATCAGCGATAAAGGGTCTTGACAGAAAAACAGATACAATAAGCGACCGTATCTTTATTAATCTTAGGATTGTAGACTTCGAAGTTTGGTTTTTTCACATCTTCAAGGGGCCGTAAACCTGAGTAGTAATTTTGTTTTAATGGTTTGAAGGTTCTTGACAGACAGACGAGGTACAGAGTCCTAAAAAGACAAAAAGCTACTGCCTTGTTTTCCCATAATTTATAGCTAACATAACATGCCAACTATCTGTCAAAGCCAAAAATGGTATGTATGTAGATTGCCTACAATCACTATTAGGTTTCAACAGCATTAATACTTTGAAATACTATAATTCCTTTTTGATACGCTTTCAGAATGTACTTAACTAAATTATTCCATAGAGAAACCACTCCTTATTACTACTATATATGCCCATGCTATATTTATTTTTTGTGAAAGCTCAAATTATGGAAAGGCATAGACAATTGATGTGATAATAAACATTTAATAAAATAAAGCAATTATCCAAGAAGTTGTGATTTTTTTTACAGAAAAGACTAAAACCCAATGAACCAAGTAAAAACGGAAAAAAATAGGTGTGTTGTTGATTGAGACCAATCTACTATTTTCAGTTTGTTCAATGAAGCGAGGGCGATGATGAATGAAAGTCTTGTTGCATAGTTTAACAAAATTTCTTTTAAAAACTTGTAAATATTACAAACATTAACACAGTGAAATGCACAAAAGTAATTGCGTAGTTACAGAATAAAGAGTCGGATTTGTGTCTTCTTTTTATCACCGACTAGCTAAATTAAAAAACATAGACAAATAAAAACACACAGAAGTACATTTGTTTTAGTTATAGCAAAAAATTACATAACAAAATACATCCGCCGCAGTATTTTTTACACTAATGTTAGCTTATTTATAAACAGCACAACGCTCAAGTGACTAATTTGCAATTCTCGGAGCTTCCTATACACAAATCCTAACCAATCGTTCGAAAAAAAGGTCGAATTGATTATTCGAAGCGCAAAGTATTTATTGCCCTTTTTTCAATATAAATTCTATCGGCGACTGTAACCAATGTTTCCGGAATTTCTATTCGGTGTGTGAAAAGTGGAAAACCCACAAGTATTCCGCCATTCGGGGTTCCCCTCATTGGAATATTGAACCCTTAAGTCCAGGGTTACATAGGATGATAGGGTGCTGAATTGCCAACTATCTATCCCAAATACTTGTAACTAGTTTGAGGTCTGTACTTCAGAATGTTAAGGTGCAACTAGATCCTTGTGGATAGGGTATTTATAATGTTAGTATATAGTATTCTTGTAAACTTAGTTATCGTACGGTTTCTTACGATATAAAAGAGCTTTTTGAAATAGGTTTTACTCACTGAACTAGCTTTCAAATGTAATTTTGTCAGAAGCCTCAGTTCATCATCATCAATTTCATCAACCTATTTATGTCCCCACTGCTGGGGCACATGCTGGGCCATGACCCACCATGTGGTCCCAGTGCGGATTGGTGGGTGTTAACGACTGCAGACCGCCACCAACGGCTTATCGTGCCTTCCGAAGCACAGAGGAAAACAGTTAAATTTGTTTGGTGTGATCAGTCCAAAACAGCACAAGAGGAGAAATAACATTTTAGATAATTCTTATTAAAACTGATTTTGATTAAATTACAGTATTAAGTTTGTTTAAGCTTAAACTTTTCCTATATAATACTTTTCCTAGAATGTTCTGATTACTGGTACACTGGAACACAATATTACACTTATTTATAACGTATTTCCTATCTCTCCTGATTAATTGAGTCGAGCTTCAAGAAAATTTCCCAGGAGGCGAGGTTTAATTGCGGGAGAAAAAATAATAATATTTGACAATATCGAAAGGAGCTTATAAGCATATCGTAAAACAATGATCATATTTTCTTTTAAGACATTGGAATTGGCAATTACATTGAGTAAATTTTGAATTAACTGAGAAACGTTCCTAGCTAATTCAGACAACGATTTAGGTTATATTTTCCGAAGCAAATTTTCTTTGACTTTATAGTTTTCGAAGAGTGTCTCCTCGTTGACTCAATAATTGTGCAATTATGAAACCTTAACAATTTGAATTAGGTTAATAATTCCATAAATGTTATTTACTAATTTGCGCCGATTTAAGTTCGTTTATTGTTTACTAGCGGTCCGCCCTCGCTTCGCTTCGGTGTAGAGCTGAAGTGTAGACTACAGTTTTTGTTCTCAGGCTTGTATTATACACAATGACATTCATCTATGATTCTTCTTATACCTGCTTGCAAAGTCTCAGCCCGATCGGTTTAAAATTTACAAAGTTTCATACAAACTTTCATTCCCTATTTTATCCCCTTGGGAGTAGAATTGATCAAAATCCTTTCTTAGCGGATGCCTACGTCATAACATCTACCTGCATGTTAAATTTCAGCCCGATCCGTCCAGTGGTTTTGGCTGTGCGTTGATAGATCACTGTGTCAGTCAGTCACCTTTGACTTTTATATACATAATATATAGATAAAAACGGTCGTTTTTATTACCTGTATTTATAATCAAACTAAAATTCTCATATTTCCGTTTTCCAGTACTCATATTCTACACGTTTTACATGATTTATTTGCTAATTTTGTTTACAAATGTTTGTTTTTTATTCTAAGATAAGCACGGTTTCTCAATATCAATTATTGTCTGTCAATAAGGTCGAACGCTCTGAACGCATCAACAGCCAAATATTGAATGAAGCTGCCTATGGCCTTAGGGGCCTTACAGGCTTCATCTGATGCAATCAACCCCTGAGAAGGGGATGATGCAGCGCTGCCTTAGTAAATACTACTGCATAGTGCGCTTAGAGGACGGGTGCACTCTGATGTGCATCCGTATCGGTTTGGGACTGAGCGACTGAAGGTCTCTCAGGATCGGGGGGCGGGGAAGCTCGCTTTCGGACCTCCCGCCTTTTTATACCCTACCGACTAGTGTATATATTCTGTGGCCGCGACCCGTGTCGAGCACGGCAACTGTTACACAAAACTAATCCTTATAGCATGATTCAGTATTCACGTGCGACGGCGCGATGGCTTATTTCATGTATAAGTTTGGTGTTTCTATACCGATTTCTATGATTCTTTTTTTATTGAATAGGTAATAATGTTAACTTTTTTAAATTAGGGATGAGTGAGAGTTTTATAAACGTAAGAGTAAACAAATATAATCAGAATGCTCCGAACTGCTAACCTATCAGGAGTTACACGTGTAATTGTGAGTCAACCATAAAAGATAGACATATGCTGTTGCGGGATATTTTTAGACAATTTTATGTAAAATATTTCCGTTATACATGATTTTTAAGTAACTTTAACCATTAAGGCTGCACACGCGACGGAAGCTTAAAAAATGGAGTAACTTCTCCCGTTTTCCCAACATTTCCCTTCACTACTCTGCTCCTATTGATTGTAGCGTGATGAAAAGTATACTATAACCTGCCCAGGAGTATGAAGAATAATGGTACCAAGTTTCGTTAAAATCCGTCGAGTAGTTTTTGTTTCTATAAGGAACATACACACAGACAGACAGACAGACAAAAAATTTACTGATTGCATTTTTGGCATCAGTATCGATCACTAATCACCCCCTGACAGTTATTTTGAAAATATATTTCATGTACAGAATTGACCTCTCTACAGATTTATTATAAGTATAGATAGATAACTGCTCTACACTATTTTTATTTACACGATTTTAAGTTTCTCAGTAACTCAAAATACACTATGTGTAGATCAGCCGATTCGTCATCCTCCTCGGCTCACCGGGAAATCTCCTAGAGGCAGTTACCAAAGTGAAGGCCCTGGGGGCGTTCCTCACGGAGCTGGGCTGGCTGGAGTGATTCCGGCTACACACCGTCCTCACCTCACGCAAAACAGGCGCCAGAAGGAAGTCAAGTTGCGGAAACGCCCGCTGCAAGAAGAAGATATTATATATACTCCCGGACACTTCTGATGAGGAGCTCGATTGCGCGGGTGGTTAGCGCGTTCGGCTGCGATCGATGTTAAGCAACTTTCGCAGTGGTCGGTCATTGGATGGGTGACCAAAAATCTTCTATCTCGAGTTCCTCCGTGCTTCGGAAGGCACGTTAAGCCATTGGTCCCGGCTGCATCTGCAGTCTTTAGCACCCGCCAATCCGCACTGAGCCCGCGTGGTGGGTCATGGCCCAATCTCCCTATTCCATCCATAGAGAAGGCCTGTGCCCCAGCATTACTAGGCTGATGATGATGATGATGACACTTCTACCGGCCCAGCTAGCATTTTAAGTTTTGGCCTATATGGTTTTGACGGTCTCCAGCTGAAAAGAAATATTACGTTGAGTAAAAAGTTTTACGCAGTTTTGAAGCTGATATATAAAACATCTCATTCATGTGTTTTTTTTTTAAATAAAACATTATTGCTCAATCTAACTTCATCATATTCTTGCTACAGACCGTTGAAATTCATAACACTAACTGTTCCGATACATGTGTTCTAATGGTATATACGGAATCTTTAGGCTGTTAACCCACTCTTGACCACTGTACCAATTTCGGTACACTTATCCACTGCTATTTCTCTTTTTATCAACGCGTCACTAAAACCTTTCCGAATGCACATAGCTGGGTGGTGTGGTGGACGGCGGCACGCAGGCGTTAAATTTTTGCATACATTCGTCGAATATATTCTCCTGAGTTGCTTGGTTTTTTTGTACCACTATGTACAATGAACTAACCAAATATAAAGCATGTCCAAAGTCTCTGAAAAAAATAAAAATGTTTGGCGCGAGATTTCACCGTGTGGCCTGGTCGGCAGCATAGCTAGATTCTTCAACCAAGGTCGGCATCTTCTCTAACTGATTTATAGTGAACTAGCGGCTGCCCGCGAGTTCGTCCGCTTAACTTTAGTTTTTTGACAATCTCTCAGGAACCTAACATTTTACACATCTCAAGCGCAGCGATACTATCGCGGTCAGCTTTCTGACGATCCACGTGTCCATCTCCTACAAGAAAAAACCGCAGAGAAGTCCAGGATGCATAAAAAAACGAGTGTGCTTATGATCACAACACTGAAGTTAAACTTCTTTAGCTCCATCTATCTATATATATCTATCCATCATCAATTTTTTTTTTTTTTTTTGTTTCCTCCCAGGCGGGGGAGAGGGTGAGAAATCCTCATGGATACCCTACAGCCGGCTGTAAGGTTATGTCAGACTCTTACTGACTAAAAAACACCCTTTATTCATGCTTATGGCCAGAAGGGCCTTACAAGCTTCATCTGAAGCGATCACCCCCCGAGAGGGGGATGATGCGGCGCTGCGTTAGTTTAAACTAGTGCATAGTTTAAAATAACGCAAAATGCGCTTAGAGGACAAGTGCACTCGGATGTGCACTTGAAACGGGAGGGGACTGAGAGGAATCGAACCTCTCTGTGTCGGGGGGGCGGGGGGGACTCACCGCGTCCTCAGCGGCCAAGAGGGCCGCGAGATCGCACGTGAGTTTATTGTGTGTGGCTGTGAGTGCGTGTTTGGGCCTGCGGGGCCTGAATCGAGATGGAGTGTGTGGAGCGTATCCCGACGCCGATCTAATGAGTGTGTTAGAGTGCTCTTCTGCAGCTTTGAAGAACCGTTCCGAGCACTCTGTGAGGTGTGTTTGAATTGTGTCGAGTTGTAGGTCCCTGTGGAGGTCCGCGTTGCGGACGTACCACGGGGCCCCTGTGGCTATGCGGCAGAAGCGATTTTGAAGCACTTGAAGTTTGTTCAAAATCGCTTCGTCCGCGTGTGCGAACACTGGTGACGCGTAAGTGAGGACCGGGCGTATGCAAACTTTGTAAAGCGTTCGCTTGTTACGAAGTGACATTTTGCTGTATTTACCGAGCATCGGGTGGAGGCGACTCATATAAAAGCGCGCGTTCGCGACTACGCGTGTGATGTGTGCACGGAAGGTGAGTTTTTTGTCTAGTGTGATCCCTAGGTATTTGACTGTGCGGTGCCACGGTATTGCTATGCCTTGCATTCGCAGAGACCGTGCACCGTGTTGTATGGTTTTGGTGCGGCGCTTGGGATCGAAGCAAATGGCCGAACTTTTGTCCGGATTTACGTCGATTCTCCAATCGCGGAACCAATTCCCAAGTGTTGTGATTGCCGGTTGGAGCTTGGCTATGATTTGATTGGTACTGGCTCCTCTAGAGTAGAGGGCCGTGTCGTCCGCGAAGAGAGCGAGCTCGACACCCTTGGTCTGAGGGATGTCGTTGGTGTACGCTGTGTATAGCAGGGGGGAGAGAGCGGACCCCTGCGGTACACCGGCTCGTAGTGGGCGGGGCGTTGATAGTGAACCTTCGTATCTATAGCGGAAGGTGCGGTTTGATAGAAAAGAGGCTACTAACCTAACTAGGCGGTCAGGTAACTCTAGTTGATATAATTTAAAGATTAATCCGTCGTGCCAAACCTTGTCGAAGGCTTTGGCGACGTCGAAGAAGACTGCAATAGTTTTATATTTATTAAGTTGGAAGCCGCTTAGGGCGTGCTCCACTATGCGATGGATCTGTTGGGGGCAGGAGTGTTTGGCTCTGAAGCCGAATTGGTGGTCAATGATAATAGGATCGGATGGTGATAGGAGGTGCTCTCTTAGTCTGGTCAGTATGGTTTTTTCGAAAAGTTTCGCCATTGCCTTGAGGAGGCTAATAGGGCGATGGCTACTGGGGAGGTGCGCGGGTTTTCCGGGTTTGGGGATGCCTATCACTATTGCTTCTTTCCAGGCGGCTGGGAAGTAGCACAGATCAAAACATGCGTTAAAGAGAATTGCAAGCAAGGTTAGCATTTGGATGGGAAAGTGCTTGAGCGCCTTGTTAGAGATGCCGTCGGCGCCCGGGGCCTTGCGTTGCTTAAAGTTTCTAATGGTCTGTCTGAGTTCGTCTGTCGTGACGGGGTCTAGGGGGTTGTCAATGAGTGGAAGGGCGGCCCGCCGGCGGACCTCCTCCTCCACTCCGCGAATATGTTGCGGGTTAGTTTCCTGCGTACTAGGCGTGCATTGCGCCGCTATGCTGTCTGCAAAACACTCAGATTTTTCGTCGTCTTCGAAGGCGACGGTGCCGTCGGGGCGAGTGAGCGGGGGGGTGTGAGTGGTGACGTCGCTACGGAGCGCTTTCGCGATTCTATAGTACGCAAGATGGGATGGGGTAATGTCCGCCATGAGTTCCTCCCAACGGGAGTGTCTCAGAGCGGCTAATTGGGACCTAACTTGTCGCTGAAGGCGATTAGCTGTAGCCCTATACTCGGGGGTGGGGTATAATTTGGCTCTCCGGAGAGCGGCGTTTTTGGCTTGGATTAGGTTCCGGATGGCCAGCGGGAGCTTGGGCTTTGGCAGCTCAACCTCCCGCGAGTTCTCCTTCGCCTTCTCGGTCACCAGTAAAGTTAAAGACTCTATAGTTTCGTCAATCTTGTCGGTGCTGTCGAGACTGTCCGGTGAGTTAGGGAACGGGGACTCGGGGGAGTCTAAAGCGGTCTCGAGAGCGGAGCGGTATCCGTCCCAGTTGGTGAATAGCCTCTTAGGGGGCGCGGGGGCGTCTAGTGGGTCTTGGGGACCTAGAACTAGAGACACCGGTCTGTGATCTGACCCCAGGTCGTCGAGCGTTTCGATCGAGCTGAGGCGAAGCGACACGTTTTTAAGGATCGCGAAGTCCAGGACGTCGGGTCGGTTTTGTACATTGTCTGGGTAGTGGGTGGGCGCGTAGGGACATATGACGTCATAGCCAAGCTCCTCGGTTATGTGTAGTAATCTGCGGCCAGAGGTGGTGGTGGTCTCGCATGTCCAGTCGGTGTGTTTGGAGTTAAAGTCACCGAACATTATGACTGATGTACCTAATGAAGTGAGTGTTTCGAAGTCTGCGCGGTGAGGGTGTGTACCTGATCTAATGTAGACTGAGGCGATGATTAAGGACTGGTGTCCTGTCATCGCCAGCCTACAGATGGTGGCTTCCATGTTTGTGAGCGCGGGAGTGGGTATAGGTGTGCAGTGTAGGTTGCGTCTATAGTAAATTGCGGTGCCGCCGCGCGCGTTGGCACCGTCGTTCCGGATTAATTTATACTTAGGGATCGACAGCCCCTTCATTTGAGTTGGTTTGAGCCAAGTCTCCTGAAGGAGCAGAAAGTCGGGTTCCCTATCTTGCAAAAATAATTTAATTTCGTTGAGGTTGGATTTTAAGCTGCGCGTATTAAATGACACAAGCGAAGCGCCTTTCGGCTTGGTACGCCCGGGGTTCAGTTGTGTGATTGTTATGTTAGTGTTTTGCGCGGTCATAATTTAAACAACAGTGGTGTTTGTTTGAGTTATCACCGCGTGTTTTGTGTATAGTGTTTTTGTTTGTGTTCGGAGTCTGGTTATTTTCCAGTGTTATAATGAAAAAATTAATCGAACGCGGCAACGAGTTCGGGGTGTTCGGCTATAGCTATAGCCTTTTCAAGTGGTGTTTTAGCTAGCCGGAGCTTCGCGGCGAGAGTGTGGATCTCGGCGATATTCACCCTCTTGAGCGAGGAGCGAATAAGCGCCATGTCCTCGGCCAGAGAGACGTCTTGGGCTGGCTTAGCTTGTGTTGTTGGTGTGGTGTGTTGTGGTGGGTGTGGTTTTGGGCGGGCCCTGGCTGGTCCCCAGGCTGTCGGGGGCGCCGGGATGCGAGGGGCGGCCGCCTTGGGTAGCCCCGGGAAGTTTGTGGTGGTGTTATTAGGTGGTGGTGGTGGGTGTGTTTTTGTAGCCGTGGTTGGCTTTGTGTGAGTGTGAGTGTTGGGCCTGGGGCGTGGGGCCCGCGGGCAACCCCTGTAATTGGCCGGGTGGCCTTCTTGGCCACACAGCACGCATGCGGGTGCCCCGGGTGCGTCACGAGTGCGGGTGCACTCCTTAGTGAGGTGGGGTACGAGGCACTTGACGCACCTCGGGGCCGCCGAGCAGTTGGCTGCTGCGTGGCCATATAATTGGCACCTGTGGCATTGCCCAGGGGTGCCTCGCCGGTGTGGGGCCTCGACTTTGATATTGTCGAGGCCACAGACTGTGATGGGACCTTTAAAAATGTCCCTAGCTGCCGGGACCGAGGTCAAAATGACAAGAGCCAACGGGTATTGCTTCCCAGTCCGGCTGTGCAACTTGTGCACTGCCTCGGCTGGGAAGCCTTTATCGGTTAAGTCGTTAAGAATGAGCTCGTTGGAGAGCTCGAAGGGGACTCCTCTGAGTACCGCGCGGACTTTGCGCTCCTCGGGGAGGGCGTATGTGTGGTAAG